ACCATAAACTGTCGTAGTTTCAGCTCTAAAGAGCATACAATAAAGAGCATACAATACCATATACTGTCGTAGTTTCAGCTCTAAAAGAGCATACAATACCAAAATACAAACCGATTTCAACACAACAAACCAAAACAAACTGCGAAAAACCCAATTAGATTCACGCACAAACTCCTTCCTACCAGTAAAAAGGAGTAAAACTGCGTTCTTGGGGCGTTCCGATTTTCCAATAATAGTTCAAAGTTCAGCTTAGAGACCCAAAACACAAAAAAGTTTTAACCCAAACCTTTCTTTTCATTCAGACGAAGAACATAACGTTCTCAAGCTCTGCGTGCAGCTTGAAGACCGCTTTGTCTTCCACAGTCAGAGCAGAGAACGAAGAGGCAAGCGAAGGTGGTCCTCGTGGTGGTGGCTGCCTTAGGTTCTTCTCCCTTGAGCTCGCCTCATAGTATATTCTTCCTCGAAAGGCAACCATGTCGGCGTAATAGACAGGAGGAACGAGAGAGACTGGTTTGGTGCAGCGAGTGAAAGTGAAACACATCTCGAAGATGAGTTTCTGGATCTGATCGGAAGTGAAACCGAGCTCGTCCCACAGAGTGTAGTAATGAGTCGGTTTGCTTGTCCCGATCCCACCGTGGTGACTGCAGAGGTAGAAGTCATATTCAAACGGGTGGATGACTTTGGTATCAACCACTGTACCTGAAGGCACATTGCCCTTATCACTTCCATCATTGTTTGTGGCAGGGAAGAAACGGGTTTGATGACGCTTCTGCGCCACGATTACAGTAATCTTAGGATTGTACCCATTCCTCTCAAAAGTGAGCTTGACGTCCAGCAACTCCACATTGAGAACCATATCGAACTGAGCATCACTGACACCATCGCGAAATATTACAATCTTGTTAGGCCGTTTCCCGGTGACCTTAACATGAGCTTTTACCAACTCTAAACAAGCATCGCCAAATCCTTCTATCTCCTCTTTTCTGTGAGGCTGGGCGATGACTCTAGCTGCATAACGGTTCGCTTCAGGCCAGTTTAGAGTACCCACAACAGCAACAATGGATGGGCTCATCTTGTCCCGAGCAGCAGGATGATTGACATCAGCTCCAATGAACATCACCTCATCCTCTCTTTTGAAAAACGAGAAAGTATCCATCAATTCAACATTACTTCCACCAACCTTCGCATTGATTTTGAGGGCAAGATTTGCGCGGTACTGATCACCTCCTTTAGCGGCAGAACCGGTCAAGAAACATTGAGTCACCAGACCAAGCTTGGTTTCGGCTATCCACTTCAAAGTCTTGTAACCATCGACCCTACCAGACATAGCACAAAGAATAAGAGTTGGACGAGCCCCATTATGCTCACGGAAAGCCTCATCGATCACACTTCGAAGCAATTCCTCTAGAGCATTATAATTAGAAAGCGTTTCCATTCTTGATGCTTTGTAAACGATAGGTTGCTCCAGTTGCATCCCGAGTCTCCAACAACGTTCAATGAGGTTTTCAACAAAGCCATTAGGCATCCTGTTACCAGTGAAGTCAAGAACAGCCCAATGCTTGATTACTGAACCCCTTGTAACTCCCTTCTTCATAAGGTTCCATTGGTTGTTCTGTCTCGGGTTGGGTTCCTCACGGCATGCTCTGCCTCTGTCTGCCAACTTCAGCGCTGGAGCCTTGAGTACACGACCTTCCACTGGAGTCATTTTCGTCTCCACTTTCATTCCGAAGTTCCCAATGGTTTTTCCACTGTCATATACAAACGTACAAAAAGATTAGATATATACACACAAATAGGTTTATTAACTGTCAAAAATTTAAAAGAGAAAAAAAAAGTAAAGCTCTCTGTACACATACCCGCTAGGTCCATCAACAGACTCTATCATCTTCTGTATATTCTTCTGCCTTTGTTGTGGATTGACCAAGGACAGCTTCTTCAACCATAAGGCTGAATCTTTATCCAAGTCATCCTTTGGATAAATCTGTCCCTCGACCAAATCGCAGAATTCCATGGGCACAAAATTTTGCCTGCCGTTTTTGCCCAAATCAAGGCAAGGAATATCCTTGTGAACAATGTCTCTTCCATACTTCGTCCTGAAATACTCAACAAGGGAGATTTTCCTCGGTGGCTCCTTGCCCTCTGGATCATTAAGATCGAATTTGATGTCTTTTGTATCTTCCTTACTCAATCCTACAATGGTGAGTTTCTGCTTGTTCTTCCGATGATTGACAGTGACTTTCAACCCTGTCAGTTCCTTCTCCACGTTGTTCCTAAAATTCCTAAACTGACGAAAATCAGGCACGTCAAAGTACAACTTCAGATACTCGATGACTGACATTGCCTTACGGAACGCCAAGACGGAGTAGTCCAAACACAACGATAAACCTTGTGCTGTGGGCTTTAGAGAGTGCCGATAACCTTTAGAAGCAGCCACACCAAAGCCAAAGTCTTCATCCTTCTCAGTTTCACGAGTAAAAAAGTTTTTACCAACAGTGATCATACACTTTGAAGGATGCTCCTTCATCACAACATCCAATCCTTGCAAGACTTCACGAGGAACATAAGAAGATCTCCCCGTCATGTACTCTTTCAACTCACGAAGCTTAAGCTCATTCACCTGTTTGATGGTAAACGTGTAGCTTCGAGCTCTCATCTCTTCGGTTTGAGGGAAATCCACCTTAAATGACCCAGTAGGCAATTTCGCTGCGCTGAAAATGTTCTTCTGACCATCATAAGCAGTCATGGCGAAGGGAAACTCATCAGGATTGTCGGTGAACACCTTGTCCCTGACCATAGCTAGCTCAAATCTAGATATCTTCTTTGTAGGATTCTCTCCTTTGATCTCGACATCATAGTGTCCAATGACGCTTTCGGGATCGAAATTCACTCGAAAATGGTTGACATAGAGATTCACACGCCGCACAGCCACAACACCACCTTTATCAGGACGCTTCATCGGCTCTTTCTTATCAGTAGCAGCAACTTGTACAGATGGCACCGGATTCCTAACTTCAGAACCTGTCATAATCAAATACAAACAAACTTGCGTATGAATCTGAAGCTAAAAATTCCAGAAACATTCATCACACGTAACAAAATCACAAAAATCTGTTTAATGATTCAGAATAAGTTCCAATGTAAAACCACATTAATTGTCTAAATTAAATGAAAGCCTAGAATGAATTTGCCCCTAATTTCAATTCCCTAGAGGAAACAAAACAAAAGTGCTTTCGTCTTTCTCAAATTCGTTCACTATAACTGTAACCGTAGAAGAAATTGCAGATTAATATGCATAAAGAACAAGATAGAGAGTATTATGCATACCGCGAGCTGTTTCAGAAGCCACGACGGTGGACGACGACGAAGAAGAAGCTGAAACCGTCGAATCAGAAGAAACCAGTGGCTTACGTCCCCAAGCTCCTCCACCGGAGACTCCAGCAGCAACGGGAACACTCACTGGAACCTGAGACGAAGAAGCTACAACCGGTGGATCCGAAGAAACCTGTGGCCTACGTCCCCAAGCTCCACCACCGGAGACTCCACTCACTTGACCCTGCGTAA